CATTCATTCATTCATTCATTCATTCATTCATTCATTCATTCATTCATTCATTCATATCACATTTATATAGCTGCCCATCTCACACAAAGCGATTCTGGGTGGCGTACAACAATTAAATAAAAGAAGAAATAGATAAAAACAATCATGATAAAAGATAAAAACGTGATTATTAAAATACAACATCATCAAAAAGTTTAAAAAATTTAAATTTTAAAATACACAAACCCCACGGAGAGAAAGAATATTAATCATAATGGAGCCATCTAAGAATGTCTCCGGTTCCCAAGGGCCCTCAGGCCTGATGACATAACCATTGTAGAAGTGAGACCAGCATTGCCTGTTTTGCTCATTGGGTTCACCTGCTGCATTAAATATACCCTGGTCAGGAGGAAAAAGGGGCCATAATAGAGAACTGGTTAAGAAATACTTTGAATAAATACAGATTACGCAAATGAATGATCGAAGCAGAAGTTGGAGGGGCCAAGAATGTGGGGAGGAAATATATGCTGGTGTGGTAAGAGTAGGAAGTGAGATGCAGAACTGCAACAGAGGAGAGGTCCCCGGAGAGCTGAAGCGACAGCATGGTTTCTGTCCCTGAAGTGGAGCTGCTCTGCCAAGCTGCATTCCTCCTTTGCATTGGCTGTGGTAGGTAGTGGAGCTCTTTTGGTTTTTGTGGCTAAGGAACAGGGCTACAAGCGGCCTGGAAAGCACCAGACTTACCTTGCCTTGAATAGCTTTTGGAGAAAATGTCACTACTTCTTTACAGGGCTGGATCAGCATCTCTCATCCAGAATGAGAGGAACAATCGGTGGTGGGTAATTTGTGTCCAGAGTAGAGAAGGATGAGTTGCAAGGTTTAAGCATCTCTCAAAAGCGGAGAGCCTGGATGCTCTTGAATGAATTTCATTAAGGATAACCTATTGGTATTTTGAAAGAAGGAAAGGTGATTGATTGATTGATTGATTGATTGATTGATTGATTGATCATTTATATGCCACCCATCTTACTGTATAAATGTCTCTAGGTGGCTTACAAGTAAAAAAGAAAGCTATAAAAATCTTTACAAAAATATTCAGAGTTAAAAGACGCAGCATCCTCAAGCCACCAACCACCCCCCAACGCTGCAAACCCCCATTGGATCCCCATGCTAGTTGGCAGAGCCAGGTCTTGATGCTCTCCGGAAGGCCAGTTTCACCTCAGGGGGTCAAGATGTTCCACAGGGCAGAAAAATGATGTTAACATAAAAGCCTTTTTATATTTTGCCCTGGCTGAACAATTTTGAGAGGATCGCTAAATATTGCTTTGACTTAGCCCTTCTATCAAGCTCTGTAAAGTAGGTTAAAAGATCACAGACTGAGCCATGCCACCGAGGCTGAGAGACAATGGCGTGTTTAGATTTGTTTAAATTCACTCAAATTTGAAGTAGCACTTCCTACTTCTTATCCTATCTTAGCAGTTTCTATAAAGTTAATATTTATTTAATACCTAATACTGTATAGAAATCAGTACTAGAAAGGACAGAGTATATATTCTCCCCTAGCCATGGAATTAATTTTCTCTGATAGGCTGTCTTCTGACAGCCTAATGAGTTTTCAAGCCAATGATTAAAATATGTGATTGCGCTTAAGCTTCATAACCCTTTTATATGGGATAATACAAAATCACTGCCTGAGGAGATACAACATAAGGAGCATTCTAAGACTTTATAAAATGTCATGTTATCCATTTCAGAACATGAACAATATAGTCTAATTATGTCATCAATTTATATCTACCTTTCAACTAGCTGATTTTAGATTTCCAGCTGAGCCCTATGAAATTAACCAAGCTTTAGCTGTTAGAATTATTTTCGTCATTAATTTCAGTAGTACTTTTCACAAGTACCTTGATGTGAACAATCTTCACAAGAAGCAGTAATACCAATTTCTGAACCACAGCCAAATGTATCTTCAATCTCAGACCAGCTTAAACCAATAGTAGGTTTGGTTAAAGTTGCATTTTGCATTTATGCTGCAATTCCACCCCCCCAAAAAGGAACAAAATGGAATCTTTACATAGATTATTTTCATTCTAATGAAGCCTAATTTAAGGAGGTCTTGATAATCCAGATCCCTTGATTTGCTGCAAGTGCAAATCCTGCCCTAGAAATCTAGTGTCTTAAACTAATCCTAGACAGCAGCCAGGAACTTGTGATGCTAGACTGAATGTATGCAAAAGATAGTGCCAATTTTTAAATGCAACAATTTCCCAGCGGGGGTGTGCAAAGCACATCATTTCAAACTGTTTTGAGCATGAAACTTCCCATTCGGAAGTCAAAACTGCTGTGCTGAGCATTCTGGCAGTATTTTGAACATGGGACATAGAGTGTGAAACTCTTCCAAAACACTTAGCCCATATTGTATCTGAAACAGCCATTTCAGATTTGAAATGCTTCAAAATAAGATAGTTCTATTGCATAATACAAAGTGCTTTTCCTTCCTTTTATTTAGTAAATCCTATTCTTAATCTCATTTACATTCCATTTTTTATTGCTGCTTTATTTGATGGGCTTTATTCTGCATATTTTTTACCACAGTTTGTTTTTATTTCTATTGATTGATAATTTATTGTAAGCCATCTTTGATTACTTCTCTGAATTCCAAAGTAAGGAACAGGTGAGGAAACAGAGTAGGTTGTTCCACTTTAGTATGAGTATAGCTATTTTATTGTATTTATTTTATTCAATTTGGACACCATCTGACTCCAACTGACTCTGGGTAGTTCACAGATACTAACATTAATAAAAACACTGCAAACCAAAAATAAGATGGGATCCAGGTGCAAGATTCAGATAGAAAACAAAAATAGCAAACTCACCCAGTGGGTTCCAGCTGTCTCATCCTCAGATCAAGGAGAACAACCAAGTCTTCAAGGCTTTATGGAACACCAACAAGGTGGGAGCAACATGGATTTCAAGGGGGATAACATTCCAAAGGTGAGGCACCACAATAGAGAAGGTACACTTCCTGAGTCCTGATGGATGGCATTGTTTAATTGAAGGTACTTTGAATGCACCAACTCTGCCAACACATACTGGCCAGACAGAAACCATGGGAGATAGACTGTCAAGTAATCTGGCCCTATGCCATGTAGGGCTTTATAGGTAATAACTAGCACCTTGATTCACACCCAGAAGCAGACTGGCAAAAAGTGCAGCTTGCAGAGCAGGGGTGTGATATGGGCATATTGAGGCATACACATCACTGACCACACTGCTGCGTTCTGGACTGGCTGAAGCTTCTGAGTGGTTTTCAAAGGCAGCCCCATGTACAGCCATTGTAGTAGTCAAGCCATGAGGTGACTAGGGCATGAGTGACAGTCTGAAGGGTCTCCCACTCCAAGAAAGGGTGGAACTGGTACACCAGATAGAGCTGAACAGAGTCCACTACTTTGAGTGAAGAAGTGCTACCCCATCTAAGAGTATGGATAGAAAGTTCTTGGATCCAGGGAGCCTTAAAACCCAGAGCCATTTAGACCCAACTACAGGTCACCTCTCTGGCTGCCTTAACAACCAGGAGGGACCTGAGACCAATAAGGATGTGGCTGAACTAACAGATCAGAGAACATTGTCCTCTTCCTCAGGTGTCACCAACTCAAACTTATTCCACATCACATCACATGACTGAGCCCCGGCCACCTCAGTCAGACTTGCCAAGTCAGAGTTCAGCTTGGAGTGGATCTGAGTGACTTTCTCTGCCAAATACCCTGAATATTCTTCACAGTGGCCTATCTCTCCCCAGCAGGGACTGGGTCACCCTAAAAAGGGCCACTGGATGGCCATCAATGGACGTGATAAAGGCATCAACAGCAGCAATCCCAAGGGTTCCCTTAAGCCCAACTTCAACCAGAACGCTTCACATCCTATTATCTGCAGAACAGAACCTCTGAAAGCCTATAGGGGTGGTAACATTACCAAGCACACACAAAAAACTGTTAGTTTTTGTCTACATGCTTGAACGAGAGAGAGAGAGAGATGAGGGTGGCCATATTTCACTAATACAGGTAGTCCTCGCTTAATGACGGTAATTGGAACTGGCAACTCCATCACTAAGTGACGTGATCGTAAAGTGCAATATCACATGACTGCCCTGACTTACGACAGCAGTTGCGGTTGCCATCGTTAAGTGAATCACCTGCAGTTGTTAAGCGTGACATCATGTCATCATGACTTGTGAGCTCCTGCCAGCTTTCCTGTTGACTTTGTTTGTTGGAAGCCAGCAGTGAAGGTCACAAATGGTGATCATGTGACTGCAGGACACTATGGCTGTCATAATGGTGAGCCAGTCGCTGAGCACCCGAATCATGATTGCAGAGATGCTGCGATGGCCGCAACTACAAGGACTGGTCATAAGTCTCCTCATTCAGCACCATCATAACTTCCAACAGTCACTTAACAAGTGGTCATTAAGCGAGGACTACCTGTACCTTCTCTTCCATTGGGAATTTATTTTGATACATAAGAGAAAATTCAAGGATATTATCCCTCAGGCTGAAATGGTCTACTCAATTCCATTATCCCTGGGCTTAACTCCAGTATGTACCACACTTGAAGCAGCCAAAAAGTTTTTTTAGAGGAATCTATGCAAGCTGTCCCACTAAGTAATATTTATTTATTTACTTACTTATTTAACATATTTCTATGCTGCCTCAATCAAAATGAGTTTTGGTGGTTTACATAGAAAAAAAATACTAGAATATGGGGAGGGAGATTGTGGCCCTTCAAGTTTTGCAACTTGTCTCTAAAGTACAGAGCAGTCATGTTGTTTAAGTGATGTATGATGGGACGTGTATGTTTTGGTGCTCCTTTGTGAATGGCTGTGTGGTGTAGGGCAAGATTGCCTTTGTGGTCCAAGTTCTTCCAGTGCTGCTGTTTGAGCTCTCTTTTATTAGACAAGGTGAAGAGCGTGATGCGTTTAGCTGCTCTTTGCCAGGGTCTTGCACCGGTCTCCTCGGGCAAAGCCTCCAGACCTTTAGAAGAGCCTTGACAGTTGCTCTGGTTCTTTCCTGTTCTTGTTATTCATATTATCCATGCAGTCAAAGGGCAACAGCAGTTCGTTTCACTTTCCTTTTTATTTTTCATGAGCAGACATGCTGAGCTTCTGCTTTTCCTAATGCTGCCTGTCTTCTGCTTCAGCTTGGCCTTCTACTACTGGGCCACCAAGGGCATTTTGCTCAAGAAAAGTCACAAGGGATATAGACAGTTAGTATGGGGACTTGGTGCCTGGTATTTCATGTCTGAGGTACTCCTGTACTTTCTTGAGGAAGAACTGCTATGCACTGTTTAGGGAAGTGAAAGAGTTATTCACAATAATGAATTTTCTCCCTGTAACACGCAGCCATGTATGTTCTGATGCATTTTATGTTGAAATATGCAGAAATAAGGGGCTTAAAAACAACTTACAGAATCAAATTGCCTGTCTTCACCAGGACAGCTGTAGAAGAGATACAGATTTGTGGAAAAGAAAAATAGGTGATTTGTCACCTCACTTTGTGAAGGATGTTGGGGCAGGGAAGATGTTCAAGAACAGCCACCGTTTCTTATCTTCATATGTGGGTCAAAACAAAGCTCATTCCATGGTAAAGGAAATGAAATGAAGTTGAAATGCTAAAGGTGAAAGCATTTGTATCCCAATACAGCCAGAGGTAGCTATGAGTTTCTCTGGAGGTTTTGAGTGTTCAAAGCATATAACCCATTTTATTGGGTGTGTTCACATGACACCTTTAGCCACTACAAAGAACATGAATACATACCACTATTGTGGCACTAATTGCACTTCTCGATGACATTTGGGGGTAGTATATCCATCTTAGCCCTCCTTAATTTCTCAGTGGCTTTTGATGTCATCAATCATGGTATCCTTCTGGACCTGTTGAGGGGGTTGGGAGTGGGAGACAATGACCTCCAGTGGTTTTCCTCTTTCCTCCAAGCCACTCCCAGCAGGTGTTGGTAAGGAGGGAGAGGTCCAGCCCTAGGCTCCTGCATTGTGCATTGCTGCAGGGCTCAATTCTCTCCCCACTCCTTTTTAATATCTACATGGAACAACTGGGTGAGGTCATCTGTTGGTATAGGGCTAAGTATCATCAATATGTTGATGATACTCAGTTGTAACTCTCAGCCCCAGGCCAGCCAAGTAATGCTGCCATGGTGCTTTCCCAGGGCTTGGAGGGCTATGCAGGCCTGAATGGGGAAGAACTGACTTTGGTCAACCCTGACAAGACTGAGTAGCTGTGACTTTTAGGGCCCCCTGGATTTATTGATTTTCCATTGTTAACTCTGAATGTGGTTACACTCCCCCAGGTACAGTTGCTGTGTAATCTAGGGGTTCTGGACTCCTGGCTCTTGCTTGAGGAACAGGTCGCAGCCATGGCCAGGATAGCTTTTACACAAATACTTGTGCACCAGTTGCACTCATTCCTAGATCAGGAAGCTCTGCTCACAGTCACTTATGTCTTAGTTACCTCCCAATTGGACTGTTCCAATGCGCTGTATATAGGGCTGCCCTTGAAGAACACTCAGGAGCTCCAGCTAGTCCTGGATTTCTGGAAGAAGAAATGGCAGACTGAAGACGGCTCTTCAAAAATGAAGAGCATGTGAGTAGCTCTTTGAAACCTCTCCAGATATGGAGAGCACTTGAGATCGCCCACAAATGCTTCAGACAGCTGTTCCTTGCAAGGAGACCTCAAGTCTCCGCCCCGTTAAGAGCTCTGGGAGACAAGGGAATAGCCATCTTACTCAAACTGCGGTTGGCGCTTTTGAAGACACACTAAGTTCGCATGCTTCCTTTCTAATAACTTTCAGAAATTGCTTGTTAACTGCTTTTCAACTTTTAGAAACCTTTGGATTGATACGTTTGACAGCACTGGGTGAGTTTCCTTCAATCCTTAGTGAAAGAAAGTTTTAACTACAAGTTTCAGAACTTAAAAAAAAATTTTTTTTTTGGAATATACAGCAAAAGGGTGATTAAAAAATTGATTTTAGAAATAATTTAAATAATTTTAGAAATAAGATTTTGGAATTAATTATAAAAAATCCTTCCCATGGGAAAATGCTTTTGTTCTGAATTTTATTAAAAACATAATAAGATTTTAAAAATTGGACACTAGAGGGAACTAAATATTACAATTAAAGTAGAAGAACACATACACTCGACTTATAATTACAGAATGAAGCAAAATATTCTAACAGACATATTGAAGGATATTTTTGAAAAATGAGCTCAGAAGTTAATATTAATAGTATCAACAGAGACATCTGCCTCTATGGAGAAACTGTGTCTAAAAGATGTTATGAAAGAGGAACAAGTTTTACCTGACAAGATCAAGACTGAGTTGAAAGTGGATTTACAAATGATAGGCTACAAGAATGACATGGAAAAAGATGTCACGGTGGACATACAAAAGAAATCGGCTGATGTTTTAGTAATTAAAAGGGACATACAAACAATAAACCAAGAGAGTGACCCAGATAATTTTCCTATATTGGATTTACAAAAGAGGTCTGTTAAAGCTTGAATGAATCTTGTGAGAAAGGGTAAAAAAGAAATAAAAAGAAATCAAGTTCTATGACATTACTTGAATGGACTAAAGATGAAGATTGTTAGAAGTAAAAGGAAGGAATATAAAGTTGCTTTGTTTGATCAAGGTTAAAATAGCTACGTTGTTATTTCTGGTAACGCTTAACGGGCTTTTGCTGACACCAGGAATGAAATGACGATGCTTTAAGGATTTGTTTATAGATAAGAGATGGGATATAGGAA